TAATACAATGATGAATGACTCTAAATGTACCCCAAACCTAAAAGTCTATTCTGTGGGATGGCTGGATGTTTGAGCTGATTTTAAAAATAATGGGGAAAGATGTTCCCACTTTGCCTTCACAACCTGTTGTGTTCTGTCATTCTTTCTAGTTCCACTTAAGAAGTTACTTTTCCAGATTTCAGAGAGGAAGGGAGAAGGAGAGATAGAAACATCTATGATGAGAGAGACTCATTGATCGGCTGCCTCCTGCATGCTCCCTACTGGGGACCGAGCCCACAACCCGGGTATGTGTTCTGACCAGGAATTGAACTATGAGCTCCTGGATCTTAAGTCAAAGCTCAACCACTGAGACATGCTAGCCAAGCTCCAGTACCTCTTATAAATAACAGTAGGATCCAGAGCCTCACTGAGAGAGGCCAGATAGAACAGTGCTTTTGCTACAGTTTGGGTGAACCTGAATCCATGCTCATGGGGCTGGAGCCGAACAAACACTTACTATAATGTCTTTATGACAGACTCAGCAGGATGGAGTTCATTTAGTTGCAATCAGTTTTCTCACGCTTACATTTCTAGAGCTAAAGAGAAGCAGTAAATTCTAGCAAATTATGGTTATAAATTTTGGATTCAGAGAGGAAAAAGACAACTATCATTTTAAAGAGTCTTTCACCAGAATGCCTACTGCACTCAGCCATGCTTCCTCTGTGGTGGGAAGCTGACCGGTTAGCCTGTAACCCCTGCTCCTCAGACAGAATTAGTGTTTTCATCAAACTGTGGTGGGAGGATCAATGGAGTGTGACATTCAGGAGGAGGTGGTTGAAATATCATTGTTACATTGAAAAAATCTTGGCAACAATACTCTGGACATGTCTGAGTATAACATTGTGGATGTCATCTGTGAGTGAGCTAATGCATGGGGCATTTCTTTGGACTCTGACTTGCAGCAGGTGGGTGAGGATTCTCTTGAATGAAGTCTTCTGTGATACACACAGCTCACCACACTCTAGAAGCAAAACCAAAAAATCCATGGCTGGGGGTGGAGGTGTCTGTGAAAGCCACTTTTTAAAAAATATATATTTTTATTGATTTTTTACAGAGAGGAAGAGAGAGGGATAGAGAGTTAGAAACATCAGTGAGAGAGAGCCACCAATCAGCTGCCTCCTGCACACTCCCTACTGGGGATGTGCCCACAACCAAGGTACATGCCCTTAACCGGAATCGAACCTGGGACCTTTCAGTCCGCAGGCCGACGCTCTATCCACTGAGCCAAGCCAGTTTCGGCTGTGAAAGCCACTTTTCAGTAGTACCTTGTCCTTATGGCTTAGGCTTCAGAAAAGAGAAAATCAGTGATGCTGGAACTGCATCGGTCATGCTGACAGCAAATAGGTTTCCAAGGGAATTCTGACCTCCCTCTCCACAGCTTTGCAGTCTACTCAGCTGGCAAATGCCTATGGGAAACCAGTGCTGATTTACTACCTTTCAACTCACCACCTGCTTAGAGGCAGAGATGTACTGCTTTGGTGCCCTCTGCAGTGTCCTTTCACAGCACAGAGAGCCAGCAGCTCCTGCCCAGAGCTGATTCCTTCATGCATGCCTTAGCTTTCCTCAAAGTCTGATAGGTAAACCTTAATGCAGAGATAGGGCCAAGGTCCTGGTAAACTAGCTTTTTGAGACCTGTGATGGCATGTCACCAGGTTATGCCACTAAAGCTCCCTGTCAAGGTGGGAGATTGAGTGGGAGCTGGAAGGCTTGCAGGGACCCCACATGCCAGGTTCCAGGAAAAAAGTGCCCGTCTCTCCGTTAAGACGAGCCTCTGTGTGTTCTGGCTGCTACTATAAATGTGTCATTCACTTTGATTTAGCTTCCAATAAAAGACAGGTAATTTTTCTTTCAAGACTATCAAATTAGGAAATTATAAATCATATTAATGATCCAATGAAGACAGACCTCGAAACTTTCCCCTAAAGCATAATGGCACAGGTGACATTTGCTGATGTTCAGGGTGAACAAGGCAAAGGGGAGCTGGTTATGGGTTTTTGCTTTGCTGGAAGTCTCTTCATTGCTATGCAACAAAAAATCATTCTCTCATAGACTTCTTCAAGTGATTTGTGGGAAAGGTGGTATAATCTGGGAATATCAGAACTACAGGCTGAGGGTACTGCACTGTGGTACTGCACTGATGCAGTGGGGGAGCCTGGTTGTTGAGAGCTGATAGGTGAATACAAGTGGAAATTGCTCCCCTTGGACAATTTTTATTCTACAAAGAGCTGCTTCTCTCCCACTGACTGGTGGTAACATTGCTGGGTTTATCAAGTGCCTGCTATTTGCAGGACTACACCCATGTTCTCTGGGGAGATCTGGAGTATCCACATAAGGAAAATCCTGTTTCTCTTAAATGTCTTAGATTCCTGTTAAAGCAGAATTTTAGGTAAGACTTTAAGTGCAGGTAGGTTATTTGGGAAGTCATCCCAACGAGGAGTGGGGGGGGCGGGGGTGAGGGGTGGACAGTGAAATAAGGAATAAGGAGAAGCCAATACAATTATGTATTTCCAAGGCCACTAGGACTCAATGCCACCAGAACTTCTGAGAAGCATTCAGAGTACCTCCCAGAACTGCCCGTGTGAGGACAGGAGACTGGGCCATTTGGCCACCAGCTCTTGTCCCCATGAGGGTGGTCTTAATGGCATGAACTCCACCACGTGTCCAGGGATTGCTTGTGACACATAGGCAGGGTCAAAGGAGGCGGCCCCTCAGTCAGAAATGGAAAGCCTCTAGGTGTGTGCTTTGGTGGAATGTTGTCAGCAGTGACTCTGAGTTTACTCAGAAGTGACCAGTGTGGGGACAGCTAAAATTAGAGTCCTCAAGCATCTGCTATGGGAAGGATTCATGCTATAATAGGAAAAGGACTGGGCGCAATAGAAACACCACCAGGAGATAGCTAATCTAGAGATTGAGGGGAAGGGTCTTGGAAGGCTTGCTGGAGGGAGTGGTTTTTAAGCTGAGACAGGGCCAGGTGAATGGGAGGCAGGGAGAGGTGAGGTAGAGGTTCAGGATTGTATAGTTGGAGCATAAGTTTCAAGGTTAGGTGTGGTGAGAGAAGATCAGGAGGAACTTTGTAAGTTAAATAGTTTAGACTTATTATAAGAACAATAGGGGCCCAGGAGGACGTAGTAAGCTTTGTGTTTTAGAAAATGCATTTTAATGACAGCATGTAGAATAGATGAAGAGGCTGCTGAATTATCCAGGTGAAAGGATATAATAATGTGAACCAAGTTACTGACAGGCAAGTGAGAAGTAAAAAGATTTGACATATTTAGTGTCTAATTATGCTCTGCTCCTGGTAAAATTGTGTGTGGTGATGAAGAGATTGTTGTAGGGGAAAAAATTAGAAGATAGGATTAAAAGCTCAGAAAGAGCCCTTTGGAAAATCCTCATGCAAATTGGGAAGAAAATAGCTATCAAAATATTTCAAGTAAATTCTCACCTTAGAGGCGAAATAACACAGTACACTGCTTCCTCCTGGGTCTTCATTTTCTATTGGTTTCACCTTTGTTGTATCATTTAACCTCTTCAAGCTTTGTTTATTTGTCCAGCTCAAGAAAACTATTCTCATTAAGCCTTGAGATGAGGAAACCTGCCCAGCCTATTCTGAGTTGATCTTAAGCTAACAGCATGTAATGAGATAGGACCACAACAGGGAAGTTAATATCCTCTCAGTCAACATGAATACAGTGAGAGTGTGGAGGGAAAATTTTCAGCCCCAAGAATCTTGTGTGCGGTGTGGACACTGGCCTGTCAGTTCACTCCAGGGCGGAGGCAGAGACCCATCCTTCACCAGCCCTGTGTTGCAGGGAGATGGGGGGTTCAGAATGGTTAGTGTGACACAAGGTCATCTCAAAACCTCCTCCTCCAACTCTGAGACACAGTGCTCCTTTCACAGGCCATAAGGGGAATAAGATAAGAAAATGTTTATGAAGCACTTGGAGAATCAGCAATCTGGGCAAGTGAAAGGTATCGATGTTATCAGTAGGTCTTATGATGTTAGCTCATAGAGGTTTTTAAATGCTTTAACTCTCTTGCATATTCTAGGGAAGCAGAAAATAACTTCCAGTTTCCTGCATGCTGATATATAACTGGCTTCATGAAGAGGCTAAAAGCCGTATCCTTCCCCTAATACCGCCTCTTGCTAACTAGCTGCTTTCTGTTTCTCTTATTTTATCGCATAACATTGACTGGAAACATTTGACCTGCCAAGACTTGAATTGGGGCATATGAGGTTTCTCCCACAGCCCATGATAGCAGCACCAGCAGATAGAACACAGGCTGTACATTCCCTGCTTTCAGGGTAAGGAATGTTCTCCACCTCCTGGGAAAAACCAGGACCCTGACTCACAGGAGTTGAAAGGAAACTGATCTCAGAATCCTTAAAAGATATGTGACTTCTTGATCATCACTATTGGGATCTGGTTCTCTTTCTCTTAAAAGAATTCCCTGGGGCTTTAGTGCACAAATGATGACAGTGATTCAGTATGGCTAACATGTATTGCACCTTCAGTCTGTGCCAGGTGCTGTTTTAAGCATTTTACGAGTAAGGTATTCTGTAGACCATGAGTAACTATTCACTTTGTACATTAGGAAATCGAGGCAGATGTGGTTAGATAACTAGCCTCAAGTCAGTTAGAGCTGGAATATGAACCTAGGCATGTAATCCTAAAGCCATGTCTGAATCATGCTCTGCTTCTCCATTCTTGTAAGCAGAGACCTGTCAGAGCATGCAGAGGTCTTCAGGATTTTCTGTCCCCAGGTCCTTGAACGGTCAGAGGAAAAGTGCATTAGGCTTCTGCTCTATTTGACGTGTTCTCCATACTAGACAGAACATACCCTAGATCCAAACATGTCCCATTAAAATAAATACTTGAATCCAAGGAGCCCCATGCCAATCAGAAGAATCATTAATCAAGAGATTATAGTTTTCACATGTTTCATGTTTTCACTTTCCCTAGATTAAAAAGATCAAGTGGAATGAGCAGCCTTTTGGGGAAAATTGGAGCCAAGAAGCAGAAGATGAGCACCCTAGAGAAGTCCAAATTGGACTGGGAGAGCTTCAAGGAGGAAGAGGGCATTGGTGAAGAACTAGCCATCCACAATCGAGGAAAGGAAGGGTAAGAATTTATAGCTGCTACTCCTCCGAAAAACCCTAAGAACTCTGAAATAGTTTATTGTAGAGGCCACCCAATTTAAATGAAAAATGTGAGTACTTTGGTTTGTCAGTGAAGCTCTGTTCTAAGTGGGGCAGGTCCTGGCAGTGAGAATATCACTGGAGGTGACAGGAAGGGAGGGCCATGTGAGCAGCACTTCTCTCAGGGACAGTCTCGTCTGCGGATCTGAACTTGCTGAATTAACAGCTCCTGTGAACTCTAAGTCACCTCGTTGATTCACACGGTCAGATGTGGCTCACTGTATCAGTCTTGGCCTGACCTGAGTTATTTGGCCTTCTGAGAAGCCAAACTAACTCAGTGCTTCAAAAGCAGCCAACAGAATGCCTAGATGTCTCATTACCGTGGGATTTGTTTTTATCCATGTCATTATGATTCAGAGTGGGGCTTCATCCTTGGCTTCAGCCCGTATGGCATGCCAGCCCTGCCATCACTTGCAACCCTTTCCTCTTTACTTTACAATACAAAGAGGATGTCCATAAACTATCTGTTTAAGAATATCAAGGAAGAAAGTGTTCAGTGAGTACTTAAGAACCACAGAAGGGTAAGGAACAAAGCTACAACAGAAGTGGGCCCATGGCTCAAGGTCAATACTGCCCAACCCTAATAGTGACAGGAAGTACTATGTGGCTCATCAGACAGTCCTGAATGCTCCTCACCCCAACCCTCACCAGTAAGGGCTCTCTCTGAGGCACACTGGATGTCTCTGAGGCTCAGTGCCTTCCCCAATAAAATTGGAATAATGATACCACCCCTAGTGGTTGTGAGGATCTCATGAAATACTACATGTAATATATGTATAATACATACAAGCACTATACATAAAGCCCTTTGCAGAATGCCTGTCACATATTAAGTGGTAGGCACTTAGATTATTTACAAGCTAACCTCTAATAAAGACAGATGAGGGATTTATTTGGAGGGTTATGTATTTTAAATTAGGCTTTAAGATTATTTGAGTGAACTTGGAAGCTGATCAGTATTAGTAGAAAAAAAAGACTTTTTACTGACTTTATGAGCTTGTTTAACTACCAGACTTCTAAGTTAGTCTGTCAAAGATGAAATGTCACGGAACAGGCGGAAGTGCCAAAGCCACCGGGAAGGCCCCGGTAAAGCGCAGCAGAAGTCAGTGTTATCTAGAGAAGGCTTCTGACATTTGCCCCAAACTTCCCCACTCCTCGACTTAGCTGTAGTCACGTACATTTGCCTAGTGATCTAAGGCTGCAGAGAACTGCCAGTATGTTTCTCCTAGAGGCCTAGTGCACAAAAATTCATGTACTGGAGGGGGTCCTTCAGCCCCCCCTGCGCCCAATGGCTTAGGCCCGCTCGCTCCCTGTCTGCAGGAGGCGAAGTGGCCAGCCCCACCCCCCATTGCCCAGAGAGTGCTGCTGCCACAGCTGGTGGCCTCCCTCTGAAGTGACTGGAGGAGTTGTTGGGACAGCGTTGTCTCCCCTGATTGCCGTCCCCTCCCTCTGCCCACTGGCACCTACCTTGGCTGGTCTGGCACTGCCCACCAGGTGACACCCCCCCCATGCCAACTGGTCATTCTGACGTTCAGTTGATTTGCATATTAGGCTTTTATTATATAGGATACAGGTTGAACAATGTTTATTCTGCCTGAGCTAATAGAGGTCTTATAAAAATAAGGAGTGATGCTTTAAAGATAAGAGACAGTTAATAAAATTAAAGCTGGAAGAGAACATGAGATTGAAAAAGACATCTGCTCCATGAGGAGGACTTTTCAGGCAATGGGAAATCGAGGAACTGGGTTAGGGGACAATTGATTGTATGCACCTTTTAAATTTGACACATATAGCCGAAACCGGTTTGGCTCAGTGGTAGAGCGTCGGTCTGTGGACTGAAAGATCCCAGGTTCGATTCCGGTCAAGGGCATGTACATTAGTTGCGGCCACATTCCCGGTAGGGGATGTGCAAGAGGCAGCTGGTTGATGTTTCTCTCTCATCGACATTTCTAGCTCTCTATCTCTCTCCCTTCCTCCTCTCTGTAAAATATCAATAAAATATATTTTATAAATAAATAAATAAATAAATTTGACACATATATAGGTATTGACAATCAGCTGCTGGGTGAGCCTTTCTAGCACATTTGTCTGCTGTAGGCAATTCTCTCAGCTTTCATTATTTTGAAAATGTCCATGTGTTTCCTCATTCTTGAAGGAGACAGACATACACACACATGTGAACAGATGAGATGTAAGTCTCTCTCTCATATCTTTTACTTACACAGACGTAATACAGAAGTCTCTATATTATATGTGTGTAGATAAGTGCTCTGCTTTTCCCTCTCTCTCTGAGACTTCCCCTGGCCAGGTGATTCTGCAGGTCTGATCAAGTTTTTCCAAGGCAGATCTGATGACTTCTGTGCTTTGCTTTTGGCTATTTTTACCCTTCACTCCTAGCTCCTGCAGGCAGATCAAAGGGCCCAAACCCCATCCTCTGAGTGTTTGTCCAAAGTTCAGGGGATAGGGTCACACTTGTACAGAGCTGCTAAATCAGAGTCATACTTGTCTATCTCTTTACATTCACCCTAAGTCAGGGGTGGGGAACCTATTTTCTGCAAAGGGCCATTTGAATATTTATAACATCATTCATTGGCCATTCAAAATTATCAACTTAAAAATTAGCCTGCTATATTTGGTCAATTAACTCACCCCTAATGCCTTGGCAGGGCCAGACCAAATGGTTTTCTGGGACTTATATGGCCTGCGGGCCGCACATTCCCCACCCCTGCTTGGAGCTTCCAATGCACAGCCAGGGTTGAGAATCACTTAGATTACAGCATCAGAATTCTAGAGATGACTTAACTAATGTCACCCTAATAAATTTAGTAAAAAAATTTTTAAAAATTCTAGAGATGAGAGCAAGACAATCAGCTGCTGGGTGAGCCTTTCTAGCACATGGTAACTAGAGAGCCAACTTCAAAACATGATATCAAGAAGGGCAAGAAGATTTCTATTGAGAAGTGCGCCCAGTGCCACAGAGCTGAAGGGAGGGAAGCACAAGAACCAAACCCGTAAGGTCTTTTGGGGCAGAGGCAGGTCAGGCCCCCAAATTCTCCCACACAGATGCCAACAAAACCAGAGGCATCATCTAGGAAGAGGATCCTCTGCAGGAAGATGTGGAGAACCCCCTGGAACAAAGTGATCTTTACTGAACAAAGAAAGGGAAAAGGGCACATATGATAATGTCTCAAAAAAAGCTACCTATGAGTAATGATTGGGCCCCCCCCATATTTATTATGAGATCGTGACCTTTTTATAAGCACCATATTTAAGTCGATCTTGTATAAGAATTCAGGTCATGACCCATGATAAAATTATTCCTGTTATGTTTTTTTTTTTAATATATTTTATTGAGTTTTTTATAGAGAGGAAGAGAGAGGGATAGAAAGCTAGAAACATCGATGAGAGGGGAACATCGATCAGCTGCCCTCCTGCACACCCCCCACCGGAGATGTGCCCGCAACCAAGGTACATGCTCTTGACCGGAATTGAACCTGGGACCCTTCAGTCCGCAGGCCGACGCTCTATCCACTGAGCCAAACCGGTTTCGGCTTGTTATGTATTTTTGATTAAAATAAGATTGGATTGGGATTAAAAGATTGTTGTGCTTTTTGTGTTTTGATGCTAATTCCAGTGTAGTAAGTGCTATCATGTTTTTGCCCTTGTAAAAATTTGATAGAATTTGAAGCTAGATTTGTTATTATTTCCAATTTTTTAAATAATGATTTTGCTGTCTTAAAATATTCACATAAGGGAACAATGCACCTTGAGAAACAGGCACAGGATCAGATCTGCAAAGAGTTTTTTGGTAATGCAAATATTAGGTACAGATTTAACTTTAAAAAATAAATACCCGCACAGATTTGAAAAAGACAAAAATAATTTCTAGAAATAAAAAATATAATGACCATAATTAAAAACTAAATGATAGATAAACCAGCTGAAAAAATCCATGAACTAGAAAACAGCCAGAAGAAATTAATTCAGAATATGGTTCACAAAGGCAAAAAATATGGGAGAGAAGTTAAGCACCTTGGAGGACAAAGTAGGAAAAGATGAAAGACATCTCTTTATAGAATTTTTAAAACACTAAAAATCCCAAGATAAATAAAATAGAAATTTAAATTAAAATAGACATAAAAGAACGAAACTGCAGAAAACCAAAGACAAACAGAAAAATCTTAAGAGCAGCCAGAAAAAAAGGCAGTTCTGTGAAAGAAAGGGCATTAGACTGACACGTGGCTTCTTATCTGCAATAGTACAAGCCAAAGACGCTGGAATGATCTGTTCAAACTGCAAAGTAAACAACCCCCAACTTAAACTTCTGTATTATGTGTGTGTAGATAAAGATATGAGATTCATATCTCATCTGTTTACGAGTCTGTTTGGCTCCTTCAAGCATGAGGGAAAATATGGACATTTTCAAAATAATGAAAGCTGAGAAAGTTGCACCTAGCAGACAAAGAGGTATATATGTGGTGAATTTAAATAAGTGCCTATTATATAAAACAATAATGTTAATGTCTTGTATAGTATTAGGTTTCCTTCCTTCCTCCTTCCCTTCCTTCCTTCTTTCCTTCCTTCCTTCTTTCTTTCCCCTCACCCAAAGGATATTTTTCCATTTATTTTTAGAGAAAGTGGAAGTGAGAGGGAAAGACAGAAATATCTATGTAAGAGAAATACATTAATTAGTTGCCTCCTGCACACACCCTAACCAGGGCCCTTGGCCGGGAAAGATCCTGCAACTGAGGTATGTGCCCTTCACTGGAATCCAACCCAAGACCCTTCGGTCTGCAAGCCAATGCTCTATCCACTGAGCCAAACTGGCTAGGGCAGGTTTTTTTTTTCCCCCCTTAAAGCAACATAGTATTAAACAACTGGCAACTAATATATAAAAGTTGGAAGATGATAAGTGGAGTTTAA